TTATTGTCTTCTTACACTTAAGTTATTATAAACACATGCACGCCCTAAACACACACACACACAGGTTGGGAGAAGAAGGAGGAATGAAACTTACTGGGTCTATTTGTTGTTGCTCATGTGTGTATGTGTGTTTAGGGCTGACCACTGGCGATTAGAGAATCTGTCAAGGAGCTGATCCCTGGAGAAGACTGTCTTTCTGTTAGCAGGATGGAGCCACCACTAACCTGAACATTCAGGTTCTTTTCCCCAATATTTGACTCCCGAGTTGTTGTTGATAAAGCATAATTAGATAAACGCTACAGTGGGATTTCCCCCATCTGTGTTGGCATTTCAGTGAGTGGTGTAAATATTTCTTATTCATCTTCTGTGATGCCCTCTGAGCCTTAGGAATTGTGTTGTAGGCATTGTCAGTTGGGGTTAGAAAAACTGCCACCAGTTGTCTCTGTATTTTGGCTAGTTGTGGGTTTGTGCTTCATAAAGAAGCTTCCTTGATGAGTGTTGAGATCTATGATTATCTGTATGAGGATACCTATTTAGAATGCAACTAGGAAGTATATCAGTCCAGACAAGTGGCAGTCACAGGTTCTTTAGGGTCCATGACCTCACACACTAGCCATGGGTACAGTTCCAGGCATGAATGTACTTCTGTTGAATGGGCCTTTAGCCTAATTACAGAGCTCTTGGTTAATCCTAAGAAAGTGCCACTGTTTTACCATTGGGCTATCTCTCCTTGCCGGTTATTGTTGTGGTCCCCAGGCTTTACAGCTGGGGAGGGCCATTGGTTGTTTTTCTTTCTTAGCTCCTTGCATAGCACCTTCCTATGCTATGAGAGCTACTCTTCAAAGAGGAGGCCTTCAGGTTGGTTCTCGCTCAATTCCTCTAAGTCCTACATCCAGCTAAAGTGTGTGGTATCTTCAGAATTGCACTTTGCCTTCAAGTTCTGGGAGGCACTCAAGAGCATCATCAATAAATTGATTTGGGCAATTCTTGGACTCCCTTGACCAAGAACTAGAAGAGAGGCTATTTCACCTCTTGTCTCTATCCAGCCCTGTTTTCATGCTATGCATAGACACACATATTTAAATAAAAGTCCCCTGGAAACTCAAGACAGGTTCACAGAGGGCCGAGGTATCAGAGTCGTGTAAGGAATTGTCAGCACCTACTCTCCTTCCCCCTGTCACCTTACAACCCACACACTTTTCATTCTGGGGCTTGCCATCTTTGGTTCATCTGTGCGGTTTCTCAGGACCATATTGAAAGGTTTCCAGGTGTTATCCATGATAAATACACCTTGGGCTCTTATCTTTACAGATTCAAAATCTAAGTGACAGAAAATGCTTTGAGAACACATCTGTTCTTCTAGAACCGGACTGCAAGGACCTCATTCTGTGTCTTTTCCTAGGGAACCTCCCCTCCCCCTATAGGCAGCTTACGGTTCACACTCAACTCCCACGTTGTGTTGGCACACATCGCCCATGTTTTTACACCATTGTTTGTATTTCAAATATTGGAGATCATGTAGCCCTTTGTCCTGTAGTGTGGTGTAAAATGAAATCATCATTTTCTTTTTTTCCCATTATATATTTTTATTTAAATTAGAAACATGCTTGCTTCACATGTCAATCACAGCTCCCTCTCCCACCCCTCCTCCCTTGCCCCTACACTAGCCCTCCCAGCCCCCCCCCTGTCCATTCCCCACACCATTCCCTAGGTAGGGTGAGGCCCTCCATGGGTGATCTCCAGAGTCTGTCATTTCATCCAGGGCGGGGCTTAAGCCCTTCCCCATGTGTTCAGGCTGAGAGAGCATCCCTCCATGTGGAATGGGCACCCAAAGTTCATTCGTATGCCATGGTAAACACCCCAGAGATGGCCAAGGCCTCCTCGCTGACACCCACATTCAGGGGGTCTGGATCAGTCCCCTGCTGGCCTCTCAGCCATCAGTCTGGGGTCCAAGAGCTCCCCTTTGTCAGGCCACCTGTCTTTGTGGGTTTCACCAGCACAGTCCTGACCCCTTGAAAGCATCATTTTCTGATTGTATCATTTGTTGGCTTGTCTGTAAGGACCACACGATTGTGCCCTACTGCTGTACATGTGGTCTTATTTTGTCCAAGAAGATAACTCAGCCCACAAGTTCTACCATCAAATGTGTCATAGCCCGGGTCTGTCCTTGCTGCCATCCCCCCTCATTGTCCTGCAGGTCAGGTTGGTTTTGACATCAGGGAGAGTAGCATGCACAGATCAGCAACTTCGGAGACTGCATCTGGTTTGTGTTGCTATGGTGGAAGGCTTGTAGTACAGTGAAGACTTTTGCAAAACCTGCCCTAGCACAGTCCAAAGGTTCATTTCCTTGAGGTCTCATGATGAAATTCAGTCTTGACTCAATTATCAACTTAAATACCCAGCTGTCAGAACTTTTTAGTGTCATCTCATTGACAAGCCTGGGTTATGGTGAGCCAGAAGGCACACAAACAGTGCTGAGCAAACAAAATAGCAGTGGTGTCACCTGCCACATGACTGTAGAGTGTCCACAGCTGAGTGTGCTCAGAAGCCAGAGCATGTGTGGCAAGATGGGAATGATGGGAGGTGTGAGGCCACTCTGATCTCGTCCCACTAAGTGGTCTCAAGTTTAAACAGCTAGGTGACCCCATTCCTACACTGCCCAACGCCTCTGGCCATCATGTCATCAGGCTTAGGAGATGGGTCCTTGTCTGTCATGTCAGCATGCCTTTGAAGTTAGTTCTTGGAACCCTAGTGCCCATGGTTACAATAATGGTCACTGTGATTATTAACTCAGAGCAGCATTCCAGCGTGAAATATACGATGAAGTGCATTGATACCAAAGCAGGGGAGAGAAATGAAGGGGACAAAGAACCAAGCACACCCAGATGGAGCAGACTGTTACAAACATGGTTTGGCTGGTACCCAGAAGCTCCTGGAAAACCACTGGTATGATTCCAGAACTTCCTCAGTGGTCCACTCCCCATAAATGTCATCTATTGTGTACTCCAGCAGGACAGGTGTTGATGGCCCTGTGATGCTGCTGCATGCCGACTTCATGTTGCTTCCTTGTCTGCTGAGGTTCCTCGGTGTGAATAGCCCCTATTCTCTGACTTCAGCTTACTCCATTTCTCAAGTAGCCTATAGAACACTGTCTGTCCTCCAGAGGATGACTGTTCCCTTGAGACCAGCCCATGGGTCTTCATCGCCAGAATACATAGCTCTAGGCCCACAATGCTCATGTGTGTATTCCAAGCCCGATTGCTCTGACAGTTTGCTTCCCTCGACTTAAATATTGTTGTATAACTGTACACCAAGCACATGTGGTCAGGAATCATATGGAGGTTGCTATACACTTGGAGCATTTATATGTGTCTTAGCATAAATAATTTGATATTTTTCAGGGCACAAATGAGAATGCGTTTGATTATGGGGGTCACTCTGGTTCTATATGGAGGTATAGCACACTCCTAAATCCTGGAAAGTGTGGATCGTGCCACATGAATGTCAGCAGAGACACACACAGAAGTCGTGGGTCCTTTGATGATACTTAGTGGGGCAAAGCTAGTTGCCTGTCGGTAGTAGGAGACTCTTCCTGTGGTATCTCTGCAGTCTTGACCCTGGGAATGGCTAGAGGTACCTAGTTATTGGAGCAAGGACTGTATTGGAGAAGGGCCTGATTGCAAGTTGCTATACTTGCCCTCATCCTGGTGTCTGTGTTCTGCTGCTGAGGCCCAGAGTTTGTGGTATCAACTCATAGTACCAAATGCATGGTCTTTGCTTAGAGAGATGATTGGAAAGGGGGTCTTTACAGAGTTGGGTCATAGCCCAAGGCGAGGGAAACTTCCATGAGTCTGCAAGGATGACCACAGCTGAGACTCCTGGCAGCAGTGGATGTATATCCTGAACTCTCCATCCCCTGTGATTGGATTGGTGACTACCTCAGTCATCATCAAAGAGCCGTCATCCCATGACTGATGGAGGTAGATTCAGAGAGCCAAAGCCAAACATTGGGCTATACTTTTGGCAGTCCTGCTTTGAAGAGAGAGGAAGGATTATAGGAAAAGGGGTCTGGAATATTAGAGGAAAACTTACAGAAACTGCTAACCTGGCTCATGGGAACTCACAGAGTTTGAACCAACAACCAGGGGGCCTGCATGGAACCAACCTAGGCTCTCTGCATATATGTGACAGTTGCATAGCTTGGACTATTTGTGGGACTCCTGGCAATGGTAGAAAGGGCTATCCCCAGTGCATTGACTGGCTCTTTGGAACCTATTCCTCATGCTGGATTGCCTAACCCAGCCTGAATACAGGGGAGGTGCTTGGTCTTAGGGCAGCTTGATAAGCCATGCATTGCTGATGCCCCTGGGTGGCCTCCCTGAGCTGTTACAGAGGAGGGGTGTGTTGGGACGGGGAGAAATGGGGAGGGAGTGGGTGGAGAAGAGGGGTGGGGAAGCTGAGATGGGATGTAAAATAAATACAGATTAATAAAATAAGAAGCACTGTCCATAAGACAAAATGAGAAACAAATTGAAGTGTGCCCTCAGAAGTTCTAAGATGTTCTCCTGCATGGAAACAAATGGCCGACATTTCTATAGTTCCATTTTGTTTCCAGGTGCAGTAAGCAAATTTGTTTTTTCAAAATGCCCTTTCAGGGGAAACTGAAAGCAGAACCATTACTGACTTGGCTGGGAGTAACCTGTCTATGGAGGGAGGAGAAGCCTAAGCCCAGCCAGGGTCTGCAGTGAGTTGGAATTAGCTTTAATGCCATCATCTGAAATGGTCATGGTGACAGCAGGTCCCCAAATGCGATTTTTATGCTATTCCAGATCGTTTTAGAAGGGATTGTTTAATTCTCAGTTTCCTAACACTTTATAGATAACAGCTCAGTTACAGAATAATGTCTCAACTCTTCTGACTTTGGACTTCCCTAGTAATTTCTTACAAGAAGTAGAAGTAAGTCAAGGGACAACATACTGCTAATGCTCCATCTCTGTCAGTCTTGGACAGATCACTATTTGCAGTGGAACATGTCCGAGTACCCCGGAGTGAAGAACGTTCGTTTCCCAGATGGCCAGATTTGGAAACCAGACATTCTCCTCTATAACAGGTAAGCGTGTCTGACAGATGGGAAATGCTCTTCCATTGCATGCATGTAGCAATAAAGCATATCAGAGAATTTTACAGAAAAGCTGGTTGTGGTATCTTTAATTTGGAGCCATTGCTCTTTGTGAGGCTTTCCAAGTGGGCAGGTCTCTGGGAGGCTGGTCTGTTCCTCTGCTGGTATTTGCTGTGTTTTCATGTAAATTCAAGTTGTCCCACCTGCTGCCCATAGGTGCCCATCCAAGGAACCGCACTATAGATGCACATGATCATTCGTCATTTGCAGGGTTTAAAGCAGTATTAAAGCAGTACCTTTGCTGTCTGAGTGGCAGCCACTATAATCCACAGCAAAAGGTGCCAGACAGAATGTGCACTGGTTTAGACCTAGGTTCTCATCTGACTTGTTCCTCATTGTGCACTAGATAGGGTTGCATTTTGCCTGAGTTCTCACAGAAGCATGGGTGTGGGTTGAGGAAGATCTGTAAGAGACAGGTAATGTTGATGGCAGTCATGGTTTTATCTTGCTGGCAAAAAAAAAATAAAAGATTCATTTTGTAATTCAAGGCAATGCGATTTGCAGACCCAGATGACCACAAAGCAAGTTTCTAGGCAAGTTTAAGTTCTAGAAGCAGTAAAATTCCTTGTCACAGCTGTGTGGCTCAATAAGGAACTTCAGGCATCTCTATTCTAAATGGTATCATGTAAAGGGGAAGGAGCCTAAGATCCTTGCACGTTTGCTTCTATCTGGATAAAGAGAGGAACTCAGGCATTCCTGACTCAGAACACTGTGACTGTCCACCACTGCTCAGGCATTCCCCAGAGAATCGTCTGGGCAGCTGCTGTGTTCAACTTGTACTTGCTACTTTCAGGAGCCTGGACAGTTCAGTGTCTTGTATTCACATTTAATTGCTTTCCCTTGAAGGGCTGAATGTGCCTCTAGAGGAAAACCACCTCCTCATTTGGCACCACCATCTGCTTCTTAAAGAAAGTTCTGATAACTTAGCTTGTGGGATTCCAAGGTCAGAATGAGTGGTCTTTCACTGAGTGGGTGAAGCAGCTGAGAGTGAAGCAGCTGAAGGATGGTCATCCATTTCCTGGAGACTGCACTGATATTCCCTGTCTGCTGTGGGACAGCAGCATCTTTTAAGGCCACTGCTTAGTCAGCAGACATTTGTGTGCTCATGGTTCTAGAGGACAAATGACCAAGCTGAAAGTGTCACCAGGCTTGGCTTCTTGTGTGTGTGTGTTGGGTTCTTGCTGTATAGTGAAGGCTCGCCTAGAACCCGTGACCTTCTGTTTCTACTCTTTAAATGCTGGGATTACAAGCATGCAACACCACATCTAACTCTTTAGTTGACTCTTTTCTAGGCCTGTCTCTAATACAGTCACATTTCTAGGTACTAGGGTTTGGAATTTCAAGGTAAAAATGTATGGAAAAGCAAATTTAGAGTTTGTAAAGAAGTTTCCGTAGTGTTTGCAGCATACCGAGTGGGGCCCTCTGCAAAAGGAGGCTATTCAGTGCCAGAGTTCAATGGCAGTTGTGTGCTTATAACTGGGAAGATGTTATCAATTAAAACTGTTTCATAGTTCCTGATGAATTTTATATGAAAGTATGAGTATTTTTTAATGTAGTAGAATTTCAATAATGAGGCAGTGAGAGATGGTATTATGGCTGTGTATAAGACTGTTAAGTCAAAAAAAAAAGAAAGACTTAACTCTAAAACATGAGTGTTTGCTGATCCCAATCTCCTGGCTAATGGAGAGTTACTAATTAGTCCGTAGAATTAATTTCAAGGAGCACAGATAGAGCAGCTTCTACCTGACATATGGCACCGGGCTCTAGGAATGTGTCCCCTACAAGACACCATAGTCTAGAATTATACTTGTGTAACATGTTAGCAGCTTCCCTGTTCTTTTCTCCATAGCAAAGTGTCCCTCGTGGAGCTTAGAGGGGCCACCTCAATTTCTGCTTTGATTTTTCTAGCCAGTTAGTGTTCCTGTCTGAATCTAAAGTATCTAACACAGGCTCATTTTGAAAGCATGCTCCATAGCTGGTGGTGCTGTTAGGAGGAATTCTGGAAACTTGGAAAAGTGGTCCTAGCTGGAAGAAATATGTCCCTGGGAGGGGCCCTTCAGAGTATAGTACTATCTCTTGTCACTTCCTGTCCACTGTCTTTGCTTATGGTTCCCCCTATACATGAACAGCTGCCCTCTACTGGACGCTCCTAAAGTCTGGTCTCGTGGGCTCAAACAGCCATGAACTGAACCATTTGAGACTGTGAGCCAAAAGAAATAGCTCCTTCCTTAAGTTGCTTCTGCCAGGTCTTTTGGTTACTTACTCCAGCACAAAAGCAGCTCATGCACAGCGGGACATGCAAGTTCTGTGATGAATCAGCTACTTGCTTTCTGGCTTTGATTTCCATACAAGCAGAGTGTAAAATGCACATATTACAGAGACTTTTGTTTAAGCCGGCTGTAGACTTATGCCATTTATCTACTGCTGCAAAACAAACTACCTCAAACTGAGTGGCATGAAAAAAATCTCAGAATCTTCCTCTATTAGTCTTTATGATGCTTTGACCTGACCAGACCCATCTGCTTGGATGTGTGCTTCTTGTGGCATTTGCAAACTGTGGTCACTGGGGCTGAGGGACACACTTAGCCTGGGTCCTGGCAGGGCTGAGGACTTATCCTGGGCTGAAGACCATGCCACCTTGCCTTTATTTCTCCATCCTTTTTCACAGGATCTAGGTACGTCTAGGATTGAACAGAGACGTTCCAAACATCCTCTCACTCTATTCCACTGCCCAGAGCAAATGGGTTCAGCCTCTTCTTGTCCTTTTGCCACCAAATCTTCAGTAAAACTTGCAGAGTTTTGCCCATTTTCCTTCATTGGTGTGTGGTAGCCATCTTCCTGAGTTTATCCTTTCACCTTCCCTTCCTGCATGCTCAAGAGAAGTGAACTGATGTCATTTCCCTTGACTGTTCTCCACAAATTGTCCTTTTATGTTCACATGTGTAATGTGGCATGTGTGCCACCACCCTCAGTACGTACATAGACATGTACACTGTAAAAAAAAAAAGGAGCAAAAGAAAAATAAAGGAAAGAAATCATATTAGCAGCACAGAAAAAAATCATGAGAGAGTCGAGAAATCAACACAAGAGATTAACAAACACAGCCTTGTCTTCAGTAATACCTTGGCCTTTTGGTATTTTATAATGGGGAATTTTGGAGAGAGGTAAACAGCTTACTTTCTGTTTCAGGAATGAAGAATATTATGTTGTGCCATAGCCATACTGTGGTCCATCCATGTGTGGATGAAGGTGTAGGTGGTGATCCCAAAGAAAGAGGATAGATAAATATCATCATTCTTTGAACTAGTGTTGTGGCATCTGGAGGTGCCTCACAAGCATGACTGATGTTTTGTTCCAGTTTGGTGTCAGAGTCTATGTGGATAGCATTGTGGTTTAGAGATCATTTTCTGTGCTTTAAGAGGCAAAGCAGCTGTCTCTACACCATTTGTAGAATGGGCTGATGCCTTTTCTTGATGGATGGGAGCCAGTGACATGCTGTCAGCCAACTGGATTGCTCTGAGGAGAGGATGGGCGTTAATAAGAGCTCTGCCTGATGTTGATTCCAGTCGTTTCTCCATCACTTTGTTCCACCATCAGTTCAAGGATTTTTCTGAGCACAGTCTAGCTCAAAATGAGTAGCAACTACAGATGACTTGTCACAGTTTCACCTTTTCAGATAAAGTTAAATGCATTTCTGGCATCACTATGTCATCTTACAGAAGAGAACTCTGTATTTGTGACATAGAGGTGACCCCTGCCCCATGCAACAGCAAACAACTGCCTCAGCCTCTGTATATCTTAAAATTTTTTGAATTGCCTAGTAAGAGAAAATTGTGATAATGGGAAACATTTAATGAATAGATGAAGATGTGTTTGTGATCTCTGATTTTGGGAACAGCACTGGTGGTCAGGCATCTCTTTCACAGGCTGCACAGAGCTATGCTTGCATATCTGTAGGCAGGTATCTTTCTTTCCATGTCCCTGTGACTCCGTGGTTGATGACAAACCTATGTTAAGGTTCCTGCTGGAGCCAATGAATGACACACCATTTTAACAGAACTTTTTCCCCTGAGGAGAGTCTGAAGTTCTTCTAAAATGAATTCAACGTTGTAATGTCAGTGCATGTGGTTTATTTGGAGATGATACCAAGAAGTGCCCGTTAGGAGGAAGACTGTGATGGGAAAGGATGGTGAAAAGCAAACAGCACTGTGGCAGCTGGGCCACGCCCACTAGGAAGTGCTGTGTGTTCCTGGGAAGCTGGGGCTGAGGTTTGTACAAAAGCTGCTAGCTCCCTGGAGCCTCCTGCTGGCTTGCCCTGTAAGCAAACTGGAGAGCCTCTGGAGATGTAGCTGTCAGGACCTTGTCAATGTTGTTTTCCAAGTCTATCCTCAGGGTCCAGCCCTCATCCTCCAGCATGACCATAGCCCCAAATTCGGCCTCCAGTGGGGATCAAAGCATCAGAGAGAAACATTGTGCATGGTAACAAGGATACTTAGGATGTTCGACAGGCCAGGTATTCTCAGCTAGGCAAAGCAGAAGGGAGGTACAGAGAGAAATGAAAGTCTGGGTCTGCATCTTAGTAGATGGTTCCTATTCCACCATGGATGGAGTGTGTTCACAGAGCTTCCACACAGGTTCATAAGTGAAATGGGATTCGGGGAGTGACCACTTAGTGTTAGGAGACTTAACACCTTTTACATCATGGTGTTTGGAAATAGGACCAACGCTGGCCCGTTAATGCACAAAGCCCTAAAGTCAGGGGTGGGACCTGGTAGGCTCAAGGATGTGTCTCAGAAGTTACCAGGACAGTTCTAGGATGCAGCAGAAATCTCCTGAAGAACAGTTTTGCTACTGTGGCTTTTGAGAAGGAGGAGTTAACATTAGTGTGCTGGGGTATCCACATTATCAACTATTCCCATCTAATGGGGGGT